GGACCTTTGTTTTATGGAATTAAATGTACACACACATACGTGTATAACATCAGAAGTTTCTCAACCATATAAGCGGGAAATGTAGCAAGAAAGTTGAAATACATTCTAATCGATATAAGAAAATTATGGACATATAGTCCTAACACAAAATAAGTTTGGCTATAAATGTAAAGGTGTTAGGAGATCCATATAACATACTGTTTTGCCAGGTAGAACATTTATGTGAGGAAAAAACCTAGGTGGCGTTGCGAGATGATCTTGAAACACTGCAAATTTGATTTCATCTTAAGAATACAGTAGCATCAATGCACGTTATATCAAATATGCAGTATGCCTTCTGCCCATTTACAACATGTACTGCCCAGATACAGTAACAGCATATTTTCAGTGATATGCATCACATAATGTTGAATGTGATTTTTTTAGCTCAAGTGTTAACATTGGATAGGTCTTAGAATGAGTTCTGACACCAAACTCACCCTTTTAACTGCGGTTCCAAATGATGATCGTCACGTGATAATCGTATATTTCAATGTTACATTGTAGTGCTACCTATGGTCTTCTTTTCCATAAATTATTTCCACATGTTTCTATACACGTGCACCAAATGTTTATTTTCAAAGTTATTTCTGTATCATCAGCCCTGTGTATCTGAGTGTGCGAGCACATTCGTTAAAGATATATAGATGTTCATCTAAAGGCAGGAATTTGGAAAATTATTAAACAAAAAAACATGATGTTTATACGGATAGGTTTTTTCTCACCCAGTTCACGATCCTGCAACTCTATGTATAAAGTTGGGAAGGATTGCGCGGTCCTTGTGCTAATTTAATACCCACCAATAGCACAACTTTTGAATATTTACTGAACATCTTTGTCTTTATGTGCATGTTGTAGGCTGCACTTCCTTATACCTTTCTACGTACACAAAGAAAACTCTTCAGTTAAACTAGGACCTAAATTGAAAATTAACCTCTTTTTACCACATCCTGAAATTACTGATATTCGTATTATTATTGTAGTGAGTAATAATAACAGTGAGCACATCAGAAAACATCGAATATTTTAACTGTCAATAGAATTAAATGTAATCATATTTCATGCAATAGCCAAGAAAAAGATAACATGTTAACTCTTGTCATGGGGAAATCAAATTTCACAAGATACTCATTGGGAACCGTAAACTTTAGTTAGGAAAGCTGGGTGTTTCAAAACCATATTATGTTAAAACGTTGTTGTTGTTTTTTCCGCAAACTGTCCATTAATTTTATTTGTCATCTCTGTCTTTTTCAACAATACGAAATCGTGTGTTACTGTGCAGTTATTGCGATGATCAATAAACATTTTGCCGTAGCTTCACTTAGGGATGCAGTGGTAAGGTTGCGGAGGCTTACAATATTAAAATTCGAAGTTTGATTCCTCGCGGTAGACGGAGCGCAGATAGCCCACTGTGTAGCTTTGTGCCAAAAATTAAATAAACAAGCATTCAGGGTTTTGTTTTATATTGTTATAGTGTAAGACTACACAATGGGCTGTCCACTACGAGGAATCGAAGCTCGGATTTTAGTGTTCTAATTCTATAAATTCACCGCTGACTCACTGGGGGGACAACATCTAGGGATAGTATTAATATCTGAATGAGAATGACTGAGAGCATATTTAACACTTATTGTGCTAGATTGTGATTCTAAATGTGCATTTATTTCTTCTAGGACAAGTAGTCTTTAAAATATAATAATAGTGGGGAATTCTCTGTAAGCACTTTGTACGTTTATTCCTGTTTCTTTGGTTTAAGCATTTTACACGACGTTCAGGCATTCTTCTAGCTTCGCTACTGAATAATACTGTCGTAGAGGAATGATAGATTTGGAGCAGGGGTGGGAAGACAAACGGGACATTTTCCCTGCGCTAATTAGATAAAGCTCCCAGGGAAACAATAAAGTGCGAGACATTATTTCAAAATACACACTAATCGATATTTCTTTGATATTTACTACAAATGATGTTGCTAACATTTTTTTTTTAGTCGGAGGAAAGGAGAACAATTTTAAATCTAAAGGTTTAGCATATTTTGTTTTCACTTACTGTCAATTTCAAATACTCAGGGAGTCGTATGCTCACTATGCCCCTGTGTGGCGGCCTCACTGTATGGCATAATGTTTTCCAATGGCAGCAGTTGTAGATGAAATATAAATACACATCAATAAGATGTAACCAAAGTGATGGTCCCATACTACCGTTACTTTCACATTACTAAAATCTGTAGTTGTAATGTATGCAAACTATAACAGGAAATCAAAAAATTGTTATGTGAAAAATACCTGATTTAATTCAACGATTACAAAATATTACTGAAACACAAGACAGGTCACTAAGGTTAAAGTTCAAAAACTTTAAAGGGTAATAAGCTTAATAAAAACAACAACAAAAAAAACTGTTCAATCAATAATTAAAAATATGAATATGACTCTTGTTGGAAACATTCATTTTGGTAATTTGTTTGATTTGTTTCTTTAAGCACAAAGCTGCACAATGGACTTTCTATGCTATACTACCCGCAGGGATCGATCTCTGAATTGTAGCATAATGAGCCCTCAAGGTTACCATTATTCCAGATATTAAAAGACTGAGAAAACGACTAAATTAAATGTAATGAATGTTAAAATATATAGTTTTAGAACTAATAATAGAAAAGAGAGAGATTAAAAAGTTTTTAATATTTTATGTGTGCTTACAGTGCAAAGAAAAAAGGACTTTAAAATAAGCTACTATCCAAGAGAATCAAGGGTTCTTAAAGAGGAAATTAAAAATTTACTCAAACAGTGTAAGACATCAAAGTTATTAAAAGGTATTTCTGCGTTGGAAACAATCCCCTAATAACGCTGGAAAAGATGTATAGATTAATAAGTAAGACTTTATTATCCTCAACTAAAAGGTTCTTAGAAACGTCGAATTTTATTTTACACAAGCTATCTTACTTTTCACACAATACATTAATTTTCTACTAATTTTACAAGTTCATTACAAACTGTCTATTCGATTTCAAGCAGTTTTAAGAACCTACGAATGAGAACAAAAGAGAATATGGTATAATATGTCAACCTCACTACACCTGTCGTATTTAGTACCGAAGAGGCCTTTCGCAAAATACCAAGACTCAACAGGCCGGCTGAGATAGGACATGCATGACGTTTTGTCTATATATTTTATAAATTCATTTCGTAAGCAATGAATATGTAATAATTTTACAAGCAATAATTCGTGAGCATTTCAGTTTCTAGTAACTTTGTTTTACACCATCTACTTTAAATCCCCTTTTAAACAACACGCTATGGAAACATGAATAATATAGTAATCGGAGGTTCTGATTTAATTTTATACTACTCAGTTAAAGTTGACATTGAAAAAAACAGCATTGAAATTATTTGATCTTTATTATTTTTTGTGTGTTTTATCTTGTGTTCTAAATTTTCACACTTAACTCAGCTGTTGTGTAATAAACATAAACATTGTTTCATCCGTCCGTTTACCACTTTTCTTAATAACTAACTAAACTAATGATTATGTTGTTATATTATAATTTTAGTAATAATCATCTTTGTAACACAATTTTCAGATTTCGCTGAAGATGGAATAAGTTATTCCGAAACGTTCGAACCTTGTAAATAAAATGTTTTATCAACCGTCTTCATTATCCGAAAATACAGTTTTATTTCTTTACGTTTCCTTCCGATATCATCCAGCATTAATTAAAAATAGACTAATGGTCCTATTAAATCAAATTGAAGTGTGTGACTAACAAAACAGGGCACTGAAAAAATAAGAATAACACGTTAATCATAGTTTAGCGAATGACTAGTCTGGAATGATCCACATGTATAGAAAGAACTTTAGTGCTCCCTCCTCATAAAGAAGTTTCGGTTCACATTTAGGTGACTGAATCAGGGAGTAGAAATACGTCCGCGTAACGTCACTTCTGCTATTTGTTTTTACAATTTCAATGAATGATATTCAAATATTTAATAGAGATTAAGTTTAACCTTTCTATGGCACTAAACAAACACGTATGGAATACAGAGTGATAAAAGTAACCGATACAACAACTAAGATAAGTACAGTTCACTTTACAGCAAATTAAAATTTATTAGTGAAAAACACACCGTTGTAAAGTAGATGTCACTGGTATCCACGTGGAAAAAATCTGTAGTGAACCACACTAACGTGGAACGTATTGTAACGAAGGCGATTGTTGAACTTACCAAAGTGTACACGCATAAATTGATAAGTGCAAATAATAAGTACTGTTTAATATTCAATTAAATCTTCAGTTAGAGCACGTCAGAAGTAAAAATGGACAGTTAAGAAAATTAACATTCTTTTCTGACCATGGAGAGTTTGAAAGATACTGGCTCGAAGTCAGGTGGCTACAGATTTTAAAGGAAAAGGACTAACTTCAGAAACTCGTACTTGTTTCTTCTTTATCATAATAAGTAGGAAAACGGCGATTTATAAGCATAATAAAGTGATTTATTAATGGTGGAACATACTACATGTTTTAACAAAACATTGGACTATCTTGTTCAGAATTTCCTCATAAAATAAAAAAAAAAAAAACTTT